TCACTATTTTTTGGCTTGAGAATATGATGGAATAAAGCAAAATGACTCACTAAACTGTATGCGCTTATTTGTTATGAAGTAACAGTCAATCTATGCAATTTTCACTATGAGTCATTTAGAAACAGTCTCTTTGTGCTTTAGTACGGGAATAAGGATGTTTTTACTTGGACTGTAATTTGCCCCAGACCAGACCAGTCCAGACCAGTTCAGACCAGACCAGACCAGTTCAGACCAGACCAGACCAGATCAGACTTGGATAGTTATAAAAATACAAAGAAACCAGACCTTACCAGACCAGACCAGACCAGTTCAGACCAGACCAGACCAGACCAGACCAGATCAGACCAGACCAGACCAGACCAGCAAATTACAGTCCAAGTAAAAACATCCTAAGACTGCGTACATCCGACCCCCCCCTTACCCCACCGTAGGTGGGAGCCTTTGCTAATCTGGGGTATGATGATGATGATGTTATAAATAGACAATTATTAATATTTATGGTCCAAGTTGTGCATTCGCAAATATGAAAGTCAAACCAACTATATAAAGAACAGAAGAAGTACTATGTATTACTTGAAGTAAATGAACAAATGGGCCAATTATGAATGTTATTACTTTTTTTGGCAAAATGAATGTTATTACTTATTAGTTATAAAATAAAATACCATATATATATATGTATATTTACACACACGCGCACACATACATACACACAAATATCAGTGCACATGTTTTGGTACCAGCGTGATATAATATGGTACTGAATTTCAATACCGTCTACCATACCAAATTTTATTGGTATGTGCAAGTATGGAAATATGGAATGATGGTCTACCAATACTAGTGGCAGTCTACCAATAAGTAATGGTACAGTTGATATTCGATAGTTATAAAAAAAGTCCATCCTAGTTTTGGACATTCCCACGAACTCGTGGTTGTTTTTCCAGGCCCTTGATAAACACATTCCCGGCCAAGATGAGATACGAGTGGAAGCGTAGGCTCGAGGCCTGGAAATATGGAGCTGGTTTAGATTACAAACAATGACACAGATCAAATGAGGAGTATCTATCTGACACTTTCATAAATACCAGATTACCACTTTGTATACATAAGATTCTGACTCATCATTCTCACTTGAGAACAGACTTTCTTTTATTGGAGGCCTGAATATTATGGAGTAATACACAACATGAACGGGGAGTTAACTATATAAACTTAAGCCTGAGTTTGATAATGTTTTGCTTGTGGACTGAAGTTAGTTTCTTTTCGTTTTAGGGACCGATTCTATTTTTGTACTATTAACTAACCTCCTTTGCGATGAAGATTGTCCCAAACGAGAATTTGTAAGGCACTTTTTCTTTCAAATTTCAGTTTGCACCATATTTATAAACAAATTTAGGCCACTCCACTCTCCCAGAGTCCCAGTATCGCTTTATGTTTTGTGTGTTCTGTCCAGTCAAACAAAAAAAAAAATGAAAACAAAAAAAAATGTTCCAGCTTTTTATTGCTGAAAAGGGATAATTACCTTAAGAGCCCGTTTGGTAGTATTGAAATTGACTGTATTGGTGTGTTCTATTGAAATTCATGAAGTTCTGGTTGAAATGATTGGATGGACTAATTCTGTTGATTTATGAAAAAATTATATTTAAAATATATTTTATCAAATAGCTAAAATGATCCTCTGCAGTAATTTTAGTCAATACAGTCAGAAAAGTAATTTGAACTTGACATTTTCTTGTTATTACACAACTCGACGTGCGGAATAAAAAATTACGTGTTTTTTTTTGGATACATCGGAAAAGAAAGAAACAAAAAGAGTTAAAATCTGATAGTTTCTAATCCATTCTCGTCTTCCCAAAGTAGACGTTTAATCCAACTAGGAGCCTCTTGTAATATAGTCAACCCTTTACGTGTTTGTTAAAAAATAAAAAACACAATTATTCAAATAAAGTGTCCAATCACTTCGATTTTGTCCATTTTTAGGTCGGACGGATTAGTTTTGATAAGCTCAATCATTGTAAATCTCAAACTATCAACACAGCCACCTATAAGGGCTATAACTTCGTTCATTTTTGTTGGTTGCGATTCTGATTGGTTCAAATTCATCAGTTAGGTTAAGCTTCACTCGGCTAGTGGCTACTCACTATCTGTGGCATGTGGGTTTGTATCTTTTTTATTTTCCTGTTCAGTCCCTTGACTACTGGTTAATAGGGATGGACCAGGTCTGGTACCCGGCCCAGACCACTACTGTGCGGTACCGGCCTGACCCGGCCGGCCGGATGGGGCCCGACCCGGGGGTGTTTTGGGGTAGGCCGTAGGCTACGGGCTGGGGATTTGATGGACCGGCCCGGCCGGTTTGGGACCAGTCTATGCCCTTTTTGTTTTTTGATTTTTTCGAATGGGTTGGGCTTAGCAGGTGGGGCTGGGTGATTTGGGGTGGTTTGGGGGGTAGGAATAAATAAGAAAAATCAATTTTTTTTAAAAAAGAAGACTCGACTTGGCCCGAGCCTGGTCCCAATCCCGGAACCAACCCGGGCCGGTACCGGGCCTTCATTGCCCAAACCCAGTCCCGCCAAAATCCCAACCCGACCTGGGCCTGATCTGGTCCCTGTCCATCCCTACTGGTTGTACTTCGATTTAATTGGGTGGAAACACCTTGCATTATTAGAGCATCCACAATGCATTAGTGTCTAGTCTAAATAAAGTGTGCCATATCATCAAATTTGACTTGAAGTAATAATTTTTACCTCCTCTCTTAGTCCATGGCTGATTTGGCAAAAAAATATTAGACGGTGTGCAGGGGTTATGTGTAGAAAGACCTAAGGACTTGCTGACTCACACAAATAAAGCTTCTCTTTCCGCAAAAACAACGGGGGAACGTGCGGATGCTATAATAATCTTCTTTCTACTGGGTAACTCTGTATATACGTTATATATACACATATTTCTAAGATCTTCTTTATAATTGCCCCAATTCTTTATAATATATACTACTACCTCCGGTTTTTTTTTAATCTTCACAGTTTGACTTCACACAAAATAAGGAAAGAAATTTGACTTTACTGTAGAGTACACTGTTGAGGCACTGTTTGACACTGTTGAGGCACTGTTTGACACTGTAGAGACACTGTTTGGCACTGTTGAGACACTGTTTGGCACTGTTTGACACTGTTTTGATGTAGATTTCTTTGCCAAAAAAGGAAATAATGAAGTGTGAAATTTATTTTAGACCGTCCCAAAAAGGAAAGTGTGAAGTTTATTAAAAACCGGAGGGAGTATGTAGTATGTACGTAGTATGTTTTAAAGAATATCTGTTCTCTTCTACTCTTCTTGATCGCATGCAAAGCAGTAAAATAATATTGAATATCTGTAAACTACGATTCTACGAAATATTATATAAAAATATTATATAAAAGAATAATATTATATAAAAGAATAATATTATATGTCTATCGTATATGGTGTAAAACTGTAAAATATTGCAGAAGTGACTTTTTAAGTTTACATCCAGAGAGAAAACTTCTTGTCAGGCCGGCCTGACAGGCTGCCCCGTCCGGCCGAGCCCGTTTGGGCACCTTCCCGGTGGAATTTTTTGATGAAATTTTTTGAGTCATGACGTCGGTGTATGTTAACAGTTTACTATAAGGAAATTTGATGATATATACTCTCTTGAAAAAGTATTGTGAGGGTCAGGTCATGTTGAAAGGTTTTGGGGGTTTTATCCGTGATTTTTCATTTTTCATTTTTGTGTCTTTAAAATACATTGTTTTTTCATGTTGAGGGTCAGGGTCTATAAAATTTGTGTTTTTCATTTTTGAAACTATTTTTTTTGTAGTATTAGCATTTGAATAATTATTTCAGACAAAGTATATAAAATGTGTCTATGTAAGTGGATATTATTTTTCATTTTATTTTTACGTTATAGGTCAATGATCTAATATTATTTCATATAACCCAGAAATATCATAAGAAAATTTGTGTTATATATCAGCATTTGTAGAATTACAAACAATAAGAGCCATGTGTTATAAGAGCCAAATGCAAGCTAATGTGTTATCAAGGTACTTAAAAAGATTTTTTCCATAATTTGTAAACCATTCATGACTTTCACGTGTTAATTAACGTACTTTCAAATTTCAATATATACAATCATATTTTATTTCTTATCAGCTATGTGATTGTATTGGGTGTTTTCATTTACTTACTTTTTCTATATATTTACAATTGATATTATTAAATTAAGACAAATGTGATGTTTCAACAAACTACTCATTTATGGAAAATAATTTCCCCGGTGCCTGGGCGCCCTTTGGAAATTTCAAAGTTTCAATATGCATTTTTAGCAACAATAAAAAATCTAAACCACATTAATTGGTCTATCACCTTTATCCCAAAAATTTTAAAAAATTGGGATCACCTTCACCGCCCAAGATTCGCATGAGTATAATTATGAATAATATCTTACCAACAAAAGAATTATATAGTGAGGCTGATTTGGTTTTAATATACATAGTATTTTTTTGCTTTCCTCTAAACAATTCGTCCTAAACTCACTACAAGAAAAAACGGTTTTTGCGTCAACAAAAAGTTGACGCAAAAGAGCAATAGTCGACGCAAATAAGTTTTTTGCGTCCACATGTCGACGCAAAAGGGTCGACGCAAAAAGCTCGACGCAAATAATGTTTTTGGGTCGACAATGTGTGACGCAATTAATAAAATCTTATTCGCGTCGACATATGGACGGAAAAGATCTTCCGGAAGTAATCACGCATAATGTCGACGCAAAAACTGAGCATTTATTTGCGTCCACACGTCGACGGAAATAATACCCTTATTTGCGTCCACATGTGGACGCCAAAGCCTATCAGTCATTTTTTTAAAATACACTATTTGCGTCGACATTGTGACGCAAATAGCACTATACAGGTCTGAAATTACACCACATTACCTATTGCTATTCATACAAAACTTTTATTAATAAACCACTGTTACCAAAATCTGTCCAAACACAACCAATGTCAACAACAAATAAATTCATTCAATATCCATAGTAAAAGTGAGTTATCCTACAACGAGGTTTCATTAAATCATTACAAACAACATCACAAAATGTAAACATAAATAAATTCATGTTCATCTTAACAAAGTAAAAAGCATATTCAACTCGATGTTATCAATCTTGATCATGTTCATCGAGACTCCGATCAGGTTGGTTAGCACTTGATGTCGAAGGAACATCATTTGCGGAGCTACGTGAAGGAAGTTGAAAGCCTGGAATAAATTGTTGTAGGGCACGAAGCATCAACTCCTGATTTGCTTGCATCAACTCTTGATTTGCCTTCAATTCACTTATTTGAACATCCCGGTGGTCTTGGAACGTTGAAGTAGCCCCATCTTCCACTCGTCAAGATGCACCCTTTGATAAGGTAGGACCCACTCCGCTTTGGCGTCCGCGATATCTTCTCAAGTTCCGGTGCATAATATCAATCTCATTTATTGAAGACGATGACCCTGTTTGTCCTAGCTGTGTTTGGTACTCTTCGCTCATTTGAGTCTATCAAATTACAATTCATATAGTTACATATCATTATGAGTACAATTAATAAAATATTTTTTTAATATACTTACATATTTTTCATGTGCTTCTTTTATTCTCCATTCACCACTACGAGTCAAACATTGATCTTTCCAATTTTCAAGAGCTGAGTACTGCTCACCAGTTTCTGGATCATCCTGTTTAATATTCATTATAATTGTCAATATCTAAAATAACATGAATGATCAATAAGTAACATTAACATTAAATTAGTAGCTTGAAATTTTAACATTGGTCGATCAGTAATCACTACCACAACATTAAGGATTGTACTATTAGACACAATCTTTGAAAAACCTGCAAAACTAAAGCAGAAATATACGACTAAGCGATATAGATAGTGCTTATTAAATATATACGAGAGGTAAACTATATATAAACTAAGGCCTTAGGAACACCCCGAAACAAAACTGTACCAAAAAAAAAATACAATGAATCATACAAAAAATCAGCACCATACCTAAAAAATGACACCCAATTAAACTACAATATAACATAAAAACTGCCAAGGAAATTACATCATACATTCATATGTCATTAAACACTAATAACAAATATATGTAATCACCCAATCACTGCCACATATCACAACTCAAAATGAAATAACAAAGACTCATTTCTTACTTTTTCATGCATGTATTGGGCATATGATTTTCTCCGATGCTCACTTTTATCATCACTTGCTTCTTTATTTTGTAGGTTTTTCGAAGAAATTTCCTGTAAGCATGAAACTAAGTCAAAAATTAGAACTTTAATTGTATAATAAAAATAAAATATACTCATACTAAACCTTGAACTTCGTAGAATTGAATCTCTCGCAACACTTCTGCCATTGCTCATCACTTCGTACATTTATAGGTCTCTTAGCTTGCATTCCTCCTTTGTTCTTGAAATACACAGATAAATCACTTTTCCAATCGTTGTAGGACTCTCGAGCATCTCGAATCAATACTTCATCAAAAAGCTTGTCATTATCGCACTCAAACCAGTCCTACAATATGTAAAACATGATCACTATTAGAAATAAATAAATTTAAATCAATAAACCCAACATGATCACTATTAGAAATAAATAAATTTAAATCAATAAACCCAACAAGAAAAGAAGACAAGTTTTTCTAGAACGGATCACAACAGTCCCGAGTGTGTATGCCTATTGCGCTTGACCACCAAGAAGCTTTTGGCCCTACAGCCTTCCACGTTTTCCTTGCCGAATCAAATTGAACTTTGATCCTTCCATCTTTAGCTACGGCTAACATAATGTTGTTTCCCTTGGCTGAACCTCTCCCTTTCCGTTTTGTTTTCTGTGTTTCTGAACCTATAAAATTCATTAAACAAAATATAATTTAGTATTGATCATGAATAATTTATATTTTGTTTTCCGTTTTGTCATTCAGTACTGCAGCCATTTCATCCTCTGCCTCATCTTCTACATTTGAATTCAGAAATGGTGGTATCTCAGGTGGCTCACCATGAAAAACCCAATGTGAATATGTCACATCAAACCCAGATTCAAAGATATGTCGCTTAACGTCTTTCAATGGAAGCATTTTTCCATTCAAACATCGTTTACACGGACAACTTATATTTCCTTCTTCATTCACAAAGTCTTTTGCATAGTCTATAAAACCTTGTAGACCCTTCCAATACTCTTCCGATAATCGATTCTTTATATATATCCAACTCTTATCTATCGGCATCCTCACCTCAAAGAGAACAACTTCAAAACTCTATCAATAAATTTATCATACAAGGATTAGTGAATGAGTTTAGTTTATAAAAGGAAATGAAAACACTTCTTAAATGTCAATGATTTATAGTTATTTGAAAGATAGAATTAATATAATACGTATTTATTCTCAAAGTAATTCTTTTTATAACTCCTATTTAGCAATAAAGGGCTAGTTTTACTTGTACTTAATGTTGCCCTTTCACATAGAAGCAGTTGATTTTATCTCATAATACATTATGTATTTTTTTACTTTGTTGGGAAAAAAGGATCTAAATTGAATAATATAGCCAACTCATCAGAAATATAAACACGTGTAGGTGTTAATCAGCCTGTTAAAGTGCGATAGATGGATTTGTCCAGCCATATCATAGCTAATGGTCCTTCTTTATGAAGTATGATCCCTTTAATTTTTTCTAGATTTAACAGTTTTTTAAGGGTTCAATGCACAAAACTGCTGTTATCATATTTTTAGGGGTTCAATATAAACAACTAGCAAATAAACAAATAATCATTTTACTGAAATAACTCATAAGTTTTAATGACTTATTCAGGAACAATACAAGCAATTCCAAATAAATGACTGTCTTAAGAACGCCTTTTTAATAACTATCACAAAATGACCATGTAAAGTACTTGAGAATGATGATATAAGCTTGTATAATTAACTGCTTCAATAGATAAAACGAACACACGATTTCATAGACTACACCAATCAAGTAAACCAATTATATATATTCAAGTAATAAAAAAGATAAAGCAGACAGAAAATAAGCTATTAATTATAAATTGAACCAATCATATCTCAGGCAATTACTCTTTCGTGATTTAGAATAACAAAAAAATACTTATTCAAATGTAAGAACATGGTTCTCACAATTAACACAACTTATTACAACTCCTTGGTTTAGAAAATTACTCATCGTTCAAAAGAAAGAACGGTTAAAGAACAAGCAAAACAAGATTCCATAAAATAAGTAATCAGTTAGTAATAATCGACTAAAATCTAAAACAGAATAAGAATTCGGAGAATTGGTCCAATTGGAGTTTACCTGGAGCGGCTGGAGGCTGGAGCCCGGAGGGAAGCGCAGAGGCGGATGCAGGGCGGCAGGTCACAGCTGGGTGGAGCGGCGGTCTGGCGGACGACGTAGGCGGCGCGGTTGACGTCTTCCTCGCAGGACGCAGGTTTACTTCGCCGTCTTCGCAGCTGCTAGCTCCTTCATCCTCGTCGTAGGTTCATTTCGCAGTTGGCTTAGGGTAAGTGTGTTGTGTGTTGGGCTTACAAGCTTGGGCTTGTAGACGCTGAGCGCCCGATTTTTTTACATTTCGTTTTTTGCGTCGGCACTCGTTGACACAAATATAATTAAACTCTTTTAGCGTCGACAAGGCGGGATTTTATTTAATACCATTTGCGTCCACTTGTCGACGCAAAAGAGTAGTTATTTGCGTCCACTTTAGTCGACACAAAAAAGTTGGACGCAAATAACACTTTTCTTGTAGTGACTATAACTGGGCCTATCATCGATAATCTCATATTTTCAGGTATCGAAATTATATTCAAAAAAACATTGCAATAAGATTTTTCTGGCATTAACATAGCAATCATATATAATACTCCGTATTCAATTTCTAGAGAGTATTAAAACTGAAATTATCTTTCTTGCAATGTAATAGTTCGATTGTATGAGGATTTGAAAATTAATGAAAATCTAGATTCAATTTCATAAATCGAATGAAGAAAAAATCATTTCTCCAATGAGATTAGGACTTGAGGTAACAATAAAGATCCAATCATCCAATTATCCAATCGCTTAACGACGTCTTAATTTCTTTTCTTTTTTTTTTATCATCAAACGGGCCTCTATTCATATCAAAAGTTTCAAGATCGTTACATCAAGCAAAGGGAAAACAAAACTGACTTCAACTAAAACTCCAACAACTACGACTGTAACCCTATGGTGAGATTTTGAGACGGTCACCCCTGAAAGAGCAACACGAATCGCTAACCATGTAGTGGGCTTGATACAGCCAAACCTGTTCCCATAGATCCAACCATACCCAATGACAAAAAGAGAGACTAAAAACTCAAACAAACTGTCAAAACCAACAACAAAAGTGGACACAAGAAAACAAATAACAAACAGATAAAAACTACAAGAAAAGCGTTCACGAACTCTAGCACCTCGTACATCCCAGGGTGGTGGTTCAGGAGGAGGTCGTACCACCGGTACCATGCTAATTGATCCTTCGTGACCTTTGGCGGCCAAAGACCATGCATTAATCCTCCGTCTTTGCATAACCAAACTCATCCCTGATCCGTGCGACCAGAGTAAACGGATAGGCGGCACCGATCTCCTCCAATGACATCAGCAACGCCACATCCTTGAACATTGACCACAACGCCGATCTCCTCGAGCCATGACAGCAAATCCGCTCTCCTCCACCGATCTCAGCCCTCCGCGTCTGACCTGGACTCCAGTCGAGCACCAGCGACCAAGGGATAACAAAGCCGATCTTCGACAAAGTCGAAACCGGAAAAAGGCTCCAGCGGCCGACATAGTTGAAGCGCTAGAGAAAAACAAAACTGTCGGATCGAATCTGAATCTCGACCCTCTTCTTCTGCTCGCAAGTACCGAATTATCGCGCAGGCATAGAGAGCTAGCCGTCTAGGCTAGGGTTCTCGTACCCAAAATATTCTTGACTCTGACGTCTTAATTTCTACCATGTACTTTACCACGTCTCAAATGAAATCCAATTAAAAAGAACGTGATATTGGAAAACGGTAGAAGAGGATATTACCAAATTATTTGAGGATAATTTAAGCTTAAAAATAGAGGTTTAAAAATGGTGATGAAATCTAAAGACTGACTATTTTTTGTCGTGCAAAATGTCCAATGGATATTCTCTGTAGAGGCTAGAAATGAAATGATGATATTCCTCAAAATTCAAGACTGATGTAGTCTTGAATTTTTTGTCCATCTCTACTCTCAAATGATAATGATATGTTATACCCGTTAAAGTATTTGTCCCACACCGGAAAGCTATAAAAACAATAAAACACTATATAAGGCTGTGTGCTACTCCTCCTATTAGGTTGACCTTTTAGGATGGAACCTCGGGTCTTAACATGGTATCAGAGCCAATTCCGGTTGTGGTTTGACTGCTTGTTTAGCACCCATAATTACGGGTAGCTTGTTAAGGGTCTGTTTGGCCCATTTATACACCTTGATATTGTCCAGCTCGGTTCGGGCTGAGGGGGCGTGTTAAAGTATTTGTCCCACACCGGAAAGCTATAAAAACAATAAAACACTATATAAGGCTGTGGGCTACTCCTCCTATCAAGTTGACCTTTTAGGATGAAACCTCGGGTCTTAACAATACCGAGTAAATAATTACCAGTTAAATAACTTCAGTTTTATAAATATTTTCAGTAACTTACATTGGCGTCAACTATATTTCTGAATAAAAAATTGTTGAGTTTTGATATACTTCGTATATGCGTACTGGGTGAAATTAATTACTCCGTATTATTTTCTCATTCTTTTATAAATCTTATTTTTAATTTTAAGTATGAATTCCATACCAATAGTATATAATTCTCGTGCATCGCACGAGTAGTATACTAGTTCGTAGTTATTCGTAGTTAAATTTGAGAGTGTGCATCTTTTGGGTTAACAAAAGGAGTTAACAAGAAAAAGAGTAGCATGTGCATCCACCATTGTTCGGTTGGTCTTTGCATAGTTGGACTTCATTGTTCTCTAATACTTGTATTGATTTTGTATTGACAACTGAAGTACTGAACTTTGTCGCACATACAAAAAATATCATTATGAAATTGTGTCCAAGATCGTGTCACCGAATTTATATTCCTCAGTCAATACATTTATGGCCGGCTTTTAATTCATAATAAAACACATCACTTTTAATACTACTTTCTCCCTATCACAATTATTGGTTTAGTTTATCTTCCCGACTTTTAGTCAAAATATTGAATTTGCATACATGTAATAATTCCTGAAAAGCATGATAAACAAATTAATAATTAATGATTTACTTTTCGTAGATGTAATCATGTAACATATATACTAGTATTCTACCCGTGCGATGCACGGGAGAATAAAATTTGCAAATCAAGAATAAATTTTTTAATATAAACTTTTGTCATCGAAACATGCATTTTGACGAATATATTGTTGGGGTGAAATGTTTTATGCTTTTTATGACCTTATGTTTCTTAGGATCTTAAAGGTCTAAAGGATGCTCAATAATGACTCCATGAGAATATTTTTATGCTTTCTGTACCTTGAATTTCTTTGTCCTAGAGTCACATCTTAATATTACAAATACTTATATATACTTAGTCCATATATAAATATACAAGTCGATCAAAACCTCTTGATAGTGCTTGAGAGTGAAAATCCATTATTGGTGTTATAACTACAAACTCTTTTACCAAATTTTTTTATGTTTATTTGTGAAGCTAAGTGACAATTTTAGATGGAGATATAACAATGTCGCACCTAATAATAGGAAGTGTGTAAATTGACCACACATGGCATTGTACATCTTATTTTCAATATATAGGAGAAATTTATCTCGCTCAATTATTAGTCGTCTTATCTTGTCTTGTATTATGTTATTATCTTATCTTATTTTATATTATCTTATATACTTAAAAGAGCTACATATCAGCGAGAAATATATCCCTTTCAATCATTAGCAAACTTATATTCTACTTCATCCATTCTATTCAAAGGTTCCCACTTTTCTTTTTTGGACGTCCTAGTTAAAGACTTAAAGGTTCTCAATTTCTATTTTAGGAAGTAATTAACAATCTTAAATAACAATTTAATCATCAAATTATTAAAATAATACATTTATAACATCACAGGCGGCAGTGATGTTTCGTTTTATTCCCCCACATCTTCCACAAATGCGTAATGATTCACTCATTAACAATTTTATTTCCTCGTCTATGACATCTTCATTAGTTAATTACATAATTTCGTTTTAATTTATTTTCCATCCTTAAATTGTTAGTGCTTTGAGTTTTTTTTGTTCATACAGAGTACGAAGTATATCTTAAAAAAAAAAAAAAAATCAAAACGGAATAATGTAATAAAGTGTATTGTAAAAAAAAAATTGTATACGAAGTACTCGTATATCTTTTCGAAAATATATATCTTTTCAAAAAGTATAATTAAAAAGTAGGTTTATATTTAAGCTGATGATGTCATTTACTTTTAAGTCAAAAGTAAATTTGATAAAAATTTGGCTGATAAGTGTGATAAATGCAAAATAAAAGCTATCAATGGGAAACAAAATATGATTGTGGCAGCTGAATGTAATATTTTTGAATTAGAAAACACAAACTTGCAAACTCTCTTCTATGATTCACTTAATTATGGAGTCCATCGATATAAAAACAAAGTATAGATTTCGTCAAGATTGTTTTTCTCCGCATTCTATCACCATTAATTTTTTAGATATTAATTAGTTTAATAAAACATTAATTAAATGATTATGACTAATGTATTTTTTTATTCTATTTCTAAATAATTATGAAATTAAAAAAATACACATTTTGATGTTAAAAATAAAAATATTCATCATTTTGTTTTATCTTTTCTCAGTTTTAATTAAAAAATGAGGTCATGTAAAATTCGGTTATTTATTGATGCACATTGAATTAAAAATTGTGTCCCATATTCTTTATGTGTAAGAATTCTAGTGCTTGAAACTAATAACTTTTGTTAAAAACTTTATATATACGATATTGGTGTCATATGAAGGATCACAAAAATTTATGATTTCGATAAATGTATGTTTTAAAAAAGATGGATTGCACATATAAAAGTTATAGACCTATAAAGTTTCTTATTGAACAAAATAAATTATATAATAACCACCACGCCTCAATAATCAACTAAAGTTTAAGTTTCCAAAATTTATATTAGGAGTATTCATTTCCTTAAATAAAAAACATGCACGCAAGTTTAGTTTTCCAAATGTGTATGAAGAGTATTTTTTAAGCATTAATTCCCCAAAATAACAAACATATAAGTTTCTCAATCTATATCTATATATTATACAACTAGCTTTCAAGCCCGTGCGATGCACGGGCAGTATATATAATTTAGCTAATTTGAAATTTGATTTTTTTCGGATCATATGTAATGTGATTTAAAAGAAAAATAAACTTAGTCTAATATAGAGGTTGTTTGATAACTGAAGTAAATCGAATTAACTAATTTTACTGAAATTGATTAAATTCTAGCTGAATGGGTGGAATCTCCTAAATCATGAAAAAAAATTGTAAA